TGAAAGACTCGCACGGTCGTATCGTCAGTATCCTGATCAGGATCAACGATGTTGATCTGAACTTAGTAAATATTTACGCTCCCACCAATCCATCAGAACGAAAAAATTTTTTCGACTCTCTACATGACTTTTTTATTCCATCCTCGGCGACTATTATTGGCGGGGATTTTAACTGTTATGATAACGCTCTGGACAAATTTGGGGGAAACATCTCTATTCATGAGGATTACGAGTCATTGAAAAGTGTTTTCACTCTTATCGATGTCTGGCGTAAATTGCACCCTAAACAAAGGCAATTTACGTGGTTCAATTCCACCTCAACAATTGCGAGCAGACTCGATAAATTTCTCATCTCTAAGGATTTGCTCTCCCCTGAGACGAAGTGTGATATCTTTCCTTGTTCATTTTCTGATCATGACTTTGTCTCCCTTGTTTTTGACTTTCCCAGTAGAATAAAACGCGTCACTGGTGTATGGAATTTTAACAACTCCCTTTTGAAAGATGAAGATTTCTGCATTGATATAGGTAATTTAATCGATCATGACATACGTTCTTACATGCTTTCGTTTGCATCCAGGATTGGTGGGAGTTTCTAAAACGATCCGTTAAGGAAGAAGCGATCTCCTTTTCACGTAAGAAACGGAAACGGTTAGATAGAGATGAAGTTTCCTTAACCAATAAATTAATTCGACTTCGGCAACTTCTAGTTAATGGTGACACAACCGTCTCCGATTCTATATCCAATACGGAAAGTCGCCTGAAAGCTCTCCGTACCAAAAAAGCAGAAGGAATTATGATTTGTGGTCGTGCCAAATGGTTAGAAGAGGGCGAACGCCCCAGCCGATATTTCTTTAATTTACAGCGAAGTAAAGCGCAAAGGTCTACATCGCACATCTCTTCAGTGTACGATTCAGACGGCAATGAGGTCTTCTCTCAAGAGGAAATTGCGAAAGCGCACGTATATTTTTACTATCGACTCTTTTCCGAAGAGCCGGTAGATGTCGCGATGCAAACCGATCTTTTATCTTGCTTGTCTCGTCAACTTCCCTCCCAATCAGGCATCCTCTTGCGAAGGTGACGCTCGAGGAAATTACTATCGCTCTGAATAAAATGAGCACAAACAAAGCTCCCGGCCCTGATTGGCCTGGTCGCCGTTTTACACAAAGTTCTGGGACCGTTTGGGTCCATATCTGTGCCAGGTATTCAATGCATGCTCCCAAGCTGGAGAGATGTGCGAGTCTATGAAAATTAGTAATACTCGAGTCATTTTCAAGAAAGAGGATCGCAAAGATCTTAAAAATTGGAGACCAATTTCCTTACTAAATGTCGATTATAAGATAAGTTCCAAGTCCCTTTCTCTCCGCCACTCTAAAGTTTTACAGTTTATCGTTGATCCTGATTAAACCTGTTCTGTGCCCGGTCGGAAAATTACTTCAAACTTACACCTATTGCGGGATATTTTAGACTATATTGAGCGCACTAACGAAACCGGCATTCTACTCAGTCTCGATCAAGAGAAAGCCTTCGATCGAGTTA